AAATATATAATGACTGTTAACAACTTGGTTTCTAGAACTTTCTACAAATATTAATAAATATAGATATGTATTGGACGTAAAAATTAAGGCAAAAATGATTAACATGACTAATGTTATTTTTCCCACACTGATAACAGTTAGGTATCATAACATCACCAAAAGTGAATCCTCATTGCAACTGTGTTCCTTTGGACTTTGATCCTTCTAACGTGTTTCTGAAATCAGAACATCTCACTAAAAAGAGAATAGGGTATTTCTTTCATTTTACAAAACCATGAATATGTACTGGTACTAATTAAAAGCATTCTATTTTCTTGCTGCATATGGAAGATTCAGTTGGCTGAACTGAAATTAACCTAAATCCTCAAAGAAGTATTTGAAATTTAAAATGTAATAATGAGTGTCATAGACATAGTAACTATTGAATAGTTTAACTAAAAGCTAATTGTATTTTGTTGACCTTTCCCTCCAAGTGAACTCTAAACAGCAAGAAGTCCAGAATTTTCATCTAAAGACATATGTTATCATGTTATCATATGATATCTGTTATTATCCTATCATATGTTATATATCAAGGTCCCAGATCTCTTATGATTCACAAAATTTGACCAAATCACAAACCTTTTGGAAAGCCAATGTGAAACATTAGCATGGAGCCTAATAAAAATTAGAGAATGTAAGAGAGACTGTTACTACTCTGATAGTCCCTTGTGACATGGTTTTTCTGAAATCTATAACAGCAGAATTATCCTGAACATTTTCTGTAAATATAAAGATGGCTACAATGACAAAGAACAGTATGCACAACAAGGAAGAGTCATAGGAAAGCTCCCAAGAGCACCTTTAAAGATTAGAGTAGCCAAAGAGATGCTCAGAATTAGTTGAACACACAGGTATGGTTGCTAGGGAAAACAGGCTTTGTTAAATAACTTTAGTTTCAAAAGCTTGGAACACAACCTAAATTAGGTGATTTGAGGTTTTTTTTTTTTTAAATCAAAACATCTCTAGAATACTGTAAGAAACAAGTGAGAATAGTACAATATGGGGGTTAAGGGCACTGACTCTCTAAGCAGTGGAAAATCTGCATATAATTTATAGTTGGCCCTCCCTACATCCCTTCCTCTGCATCTGCAGATTCAACCAACCTCAGATTGTGCAGTCCTATAGTATTTACCACTGAAAAAAATCTGAGTATAGGTGAACCTGTGCAACCCCAAGCTCTTCAAGGGTCAAGTACATACTAAAAGGTCAACGGCATTGCATGACTGCTTTCAAACAGATGCCTGCTATGCTTCACAGAAATTAAAAGCACAAGATTTTAAAAGAATGTAAGTTTTCTCTTGAAGATATTCCTGCGATAGGCAGGAGTAAGATTAGTACACACTTAATTTTCAAAAGCCTTCTTCTGATGGTACTCAAGGTGGGACCTTCTAAGATATACACCATCCCTTGATAATATCCCCTTATAACATTATGCTCATCATTGTTTACCAGAGTCATAATGGGCAACATCATTTAAATGACATTTCCCTTCCATTTGAGAATAAATCCGTTATTCTGTACCATAGCCATTTATTTTAAAATATTATCACCAAGTAAACTGTTCCTTGATACAGAGAACTAAAGTTTTGAATATCATCTGATATATATATTTGGAATTTAATAATGCTACATTTGTTAAATAAAATTAAAATATTTAAATGCCATTATATCTCATTTTTATGTATAAGGTATTAATGTGTATATATAAATTTTCTGTACCGTAAAAGACAACAAAGTTAAAAAGCAAATTATGGGCAAGGAGAAAAAAATTTGCAAAACAGAGCAAATTTTTAGGGCTTGTGATGGTTAATGTTATGTGTCAACCTCACTGGGACCACAGGGTGCTCAGACATTTGGTCAAACATTATTCTGGGTATGTCTGTGAGGCTGTTCCTGGATGAGACTAACACTGGAACCAGTAGACCGAGCAAAGCAGATTGCCCTCCATGATGTGGCAATAGGGACAGGGGTGCGGGGGACCCCATACAATCAACTGAAACCCTAAATAGAACAAAAAGGCTGAGTAACAGGGAACTCTTGCTGTTTGACCAGCTCGAACTGGGGCATCTGTCTTTTTCTTCCTTGGACTCAAACTGAAACTTCACTCTTCTTGGGTCTCAAACCTGCCAGTGTTGAGATAGGAATTTACACCATCAGCTCTCCTGGTCTCTGATATACCAACTGCAAATCTTGGGACTTCTCAGCCTCCATAATCAAGTGAGCCAATTCCTTATAATAAAACTCATTTTAGATATACATAAATCCTATTGGTTCTGTTTCTCTGGAGAACCCTGACTAAGACAGAGCTAAATATCTACATTTTAGAAATTTCTAAACATCAACTAAGACCAATAAAGTCCAACAATAAAATGGTCAAAGTATATGAATCAGAAAATCACATAAAAATAGAAATGGTCAATAAACAGTGCTCAACCTCACAAACAATCAAATAAATAAATTGAAATGAGATGCCATATTTTGCTTATCTAACGGCAAAAAAGGTAAAAGAATGATAATATACATCTTTGGCAGGAATACAATGGAATACCACTCATATACTATGTTGGGACTGAAAACTGCAAAGAGCTTTGTGGAGAAGATTTCATAGTATCTATCAAATTAAAAAATGTGCCTACTACTCAATATAGAAATTCCTCTTTTGGAATTAATCTATAGAAATACTCTCCCAAATACACAAAGAAATATGTATATGAATTTCAATGCAGCATTAATTGTCACAGAAAAAGAAGTATCTATCAATGAGGAATTGGTCAAATAAATTAATAATTTAAGATACATTCATACAGTTCATTGTCATGCAACCATTAAATAAGTACATTGGTAAATACTGACAAGCTGTGATGATAGATTGAAAAGCTGTTAGGTGGAAAAAAGAAAAGCACAGAGCAATAGGTATAGATCAATTCTATTTTTGCAACTAGAGATATGAATGTGTATGTGTCTATGTGTGCGTGTCTTATGGTTCGGGAGGGATACACATCAGGTTGTGCCAGGAGGTTGGAAATGGCTTTCTTTCTCACATTGTTTCCAAAGGGTTAGAAAGAGTTTTCATTTTCACACTTACATGTTTGCTCTGTTTGCATTTGAATCATGAGCATAAAAATTCCTAACTGGAAATGGGGCAGTCAGTTAGCCATCAAAGGAAACAGCATCTCTAGAGCAAAACGTCCCCTACATATGGACAGTTCAAAAGCAAATAACTTACCCCAATGTAACAAAGCCACATAGAACTTTTGACAGATCATCTTACTTCAGAGACGTACACCTGGAAAACAGTAAATCTAAAACAAATACACACATACATCAAAAACTGATATACATACAAGCTGCCTGTGGAAAATATAAAAGGAAGAGGATTATAAATAAGAATTCTTTAAATTTTAATCCTCTATAACACTTTGGATCAATATTGGTGCCTCAAATGAACCTACAACTGTAAGTTATACATTAATTCCTATACACATGCTATTTTACCTAGTTAAATATAAGCCACATGTTCATATATTCATATACGGCTTAATCAAAAAAAGTCAACGTTCTTTTATGATCTGAAAACCCAGGACAGGTATGATAGGATAAGACTGAATTTTTAACTAAACAAAAGTGCTCAGAATGTTAATTAAGTATGTACAGTTGATTTAACGTTATTCGTATCGCAGTTTTCTTTTTTTTGTACTCAGTTCTTAAATTTCTCTCATTTCCTAAAGCCTTTATCTTTTTATCATACTATAAAGCCAAATGATTATAGCATAGGATATGACTGCATATCTACTTAAGAAAGAGGAGAAAATTTTCTAGTACACTTTTGGAAACCCCTTGTTCATTTGCAAATGAGGTAATATTCACATTGAAAAGTTAACAGTAATTGAGGGAAAATCTGATGGCTTCATATATGCAAATGATGGAGATGACTTCAGAGACAAGCTTTCCCATGAATTGTACTCAATTTGAAATATATTGTGAATAAGATTATTTATACTACTACGTCATGAAATCAAACGGTACTATAATTTGAATATATTGGTCTTAAAATTGTAATGAAACACTAAAGGCTTTCGACGTTCTGGTTGTTTTTATTATCTCATATTAGGGATTCAGTTCTGCATGAAAATTAACCTGAGGAAAAAAGCCCTGAACTGGATGTCAGGAGTCTTGCGTGCCCATCGAGGGTCTCTGACTAACCAGCTGTAGGACTTGGGACGTCAGCTCTCTTGGCCCCAGGTTCCTCATCTACCAATCACCCTGATGGACGAGATGACCTCTACAATCCCTTTCAGAGCTGCCTTTGATGCTGAGAGACTTTAGTATAAAACAGAAATCACAGCTTGACCACAAAGAATATTATGAAATATCAAGTGAGAAACATGTCTCATAAGTCATACCTGAGAATTTTTAGCACAAGATGAGTAAATAAAAATATGTGTTTGTTTAGTTCACAACTTACATGACACCTCGAAGGAAAATGGATGGGTATGACCATTTTGTAGTCTGATAAATTTGTCTGTCAAACTATGAGTTTTTCCAGCAGGATTTTATTTCCTCACACACCTGACATCACAATGGTTCTTTAGGATTTCTAGAAATCAGTTCCGTTTGGAATCTTCATTATCTTATGGTACTTAAATGTGTGTAAATTCTAGGTAGCTTTTTATGCTACCTGTTTCTGATACAACGTTTTCTCACAAAAGTAAACCCAAGGGCAATTTCATAATCAGGATGTGTCATAGATACAGCATATCCAAGTGTTTCGACTAACTGACTAGTGACTAATAATTCAGTCAAACAATTGATTTGACTCACTTTTAACCCAACTGATCCTCTGCGTTAAGTTACCAAATAAATCATATTGTTTTTCCTTACATAAGACAACCATTCTTTTATTTAATGTTCTATGAAAAACACAAACTATTCTTACGGTATGAAATCTTGCAATCAGGTTTCACTCTTATGTAACAGAGAAACAATCTCGTGTGAAGAGGGCATAGATGTAACACTGAAGAGACTTTGAAAGGTGATACCTTATGGAGACACAAAGAAAGAAAGATTTATATCCTCCCTAAATTGTACTGGAAAGGAATATAAGGAGGTTTACAAAAACACAAGCAATACAGAAAATGACAGAAATTTTAAACTATGAGAAAAAAAAAGCAAGCAAAGGGAAAGTTAATGGTAAGGTGACCAAAATAAATGTAATATACAAAATGTCATTAATTTGAATTCACTTCCTAAAGATGAGCTATTAATTTGTTTTAAGCTTTTTTATGGCCAAACTGTTCAATTATAAATTCAGAGTGCTTAAAATAAAATGAAACCAACAGCTTAGGGGGAAAGTAGGAGTAATCTTATCACTAAGAATAGAAAGTTTTGCCTGAGTGACTTCATGGGATAACAATATCCTCATAAACATCTAATGGTACCAGAGTCTCATGGGAATTTCAAAATGCAATCAATCTTATCTCACCCCTTCCACAGCCAGCACCATTATCTCTTCAGAAGAACCTTCTAACTGGTCCTCCTGTTGCAGCCCTGGCTCCCCAATTCAGTCTGTTCTCAACGCAGCAGCCAGAGCAGTCTTGGTAATATATGAGTCAGATCATGTCTCTATTTTCCAAAACACTGCAGTGCTCACCTTTTCACTCAGAGTAAAAATCCAAGTCCTGTGCAAAATTCCAAGGTCCTGGTTCTATTGCCTCTCTGACCTCCTCAACAGCTGCTCACCCCGTTGCTCAAGTCATCTTCTCAGAAGAGCCTTCCCTGACCAGCCTACCTAAAATTCCAACACCTTCCCCACCTCGCCATGTCATATCTGCTGTTCTGCTTAATTTTTTCTCCTTATTACTTAGGACTATCTAACATGAATATGATTTGTTATTTCTCTTGTTTATTTTCTAACTCTTGTTGTTAGAATGCAAACTCCACTAGACCAAAGGATTTTTTGACTGTTTCCTTTCCATCATGATATATCCTTCCCACATAGAAGCCTGCCTCTCATACAGAAGGTGCCCATATATATTAACTGAATAAGTGGGTAAATTAATGAGAAAATAAGTGGCAAGATATGACTCTTGAAACATTCTTCAAAATTGGCTTGTGGCATCACAGCAAGACAAAACTGAATAAAAGCAATCTTTAAAAGAGGCATTTTAATATCATTTAGATAACGTTCTTTGAGAATCTGTCTTGGTACCAGAGAGAACTTCAGATTGGTGATTCTTAACTATTTTTGGATCATACACCTTGTTGAGAATTTGGTGAGAGTCACATCCCAATTGATAGGAAGAGGCACACACACCTAAAATTAGGGCTATAATTTCAAGAAGTTACTAAACTCTCTGAAATTTATCCAAGGCACTCAGAATAAGAATTCCTAGTGTAGATAAATGGAGTGCACATTCCTCTATAATTGTAGCTCCAGGAATTGAGTCACTTACAGACAACAAGCTCTGAGGAGCTTGAGATAATACAGCCTAGTATTTCTCCTGGAATGTAATCATTCCATGTTGATAGTTAAAAGGAGTAATGTGTCTTATCTGAAATATCTGAAGAAATCTTTAATAAAGTATACAAAGATTCACTCATAGTCAGATCTAAATGATACACCCATGATATCTGGATGTACAGGCACTAATTCAATTTGCATAATATACCAAACACAGTAAGCATATTAAAAATGCCAATAATACTTCAGCTGTTACTAAACTTTAAATGAAAAGAAAAATCAAAATCCATATTCTACAGAATTAACATATTATCAGATTGTTTAACATCTATTGTAGAGAATTTTCTGAGTTATTTTTATGGATCAAATTCTACTTATATACAGACAAAAGAGTTTCAATTAGTGTTTGAATCAGTGGTTGCGCAGAAAAAAAATTAATTACAACTTGCTCCAATAATCTCAGAAAGTCTCCAGATCTGTGGAAAAGTTTATGAGTAAGAAAAGCAATTCTGACAATTCTATTGCTTTGATGAACAAATTCAATGAGCTCCATCTGCCACTAATTTTTGCTTTTACTTTCTGCTAGAGAAGCAGCCATGTATCTTTCACTTAGACAACAACATTTAAGTATTTTATTTAAATAGAAACGAAAAACACTATTTCTTAAAGTGTCAAAATTTAACAAATATAGCCTGGTCTATTTCTGGTAACCTCACCATTTTCAGTATGTTTACTTTTACTTCTTCACTTAGGATGGAAATTGGTCATATTATTTCCATCAAATAGCTGTTATAGCCTTAAATTATTTTTTAATTAAAAAATAAACTTCTATCATCCTGGTATAAGCATTTGTCCCTTTGAAAAGATCATTTCAAGTACTTTAATTCCTGATATGACTCTAATTGTGTGTTCTTGCTGTAAATCAATTCCTTGAAATTAGAGTAATAAGCTATGATTTATAGACCTTGTGACCAAAGTCAACACAGTTGAATCAGAATAGGCATCTTACTGACATATCAAGTAACTTAAAATCTGTACATAAATCAGCTCATTTAAATATTAACTGAATATTAGGTAAAATGTAAGTTACTACACAGGGTGCTATAAATATAAAAAATTAAGAGGAAATCATCATTTACTTTAAGAAATAACATTATTTTATGATTTTTTTAAAATGTGAAAGTACTATAATACCTGAATGAATAAAAGTGCCATGGGACTTCAGATTCAAGATGGCAAACTGAACAAACTGACCTTCTCTTCCACCTGATATGCCTTTAGAATTATAGTAAAGTCAAACAAGTTAGAACAGAGAGAATGAGGGGACCCACAGCAAAAAAGAGATTTGCACAAATTTCTGGAAGATGAAGCAAAGACTAACAAGGTAGAATGAAGGAAGTAACTACCTAGGGTATTTGGGTAAGATGCTGTCATCAATGAGGAAACAAACTTACTTGGGGAAACCCTGGATGTTGGGTGGTTTGGTCTGTATATGTAATATTTGACTTCTTTATCCCCTCATGAACAATTCATGGCAGCCAAATCTATCTCCCTATAACTGTCAGGGTTGTGGTTTACAAACAACCAAAACCAACTCTGGCTAGTTTAAGTAGAAAATGAATTTATTAAAGATTAATCGGAATATATTAAAGATGATTGGCTACCTCACAGAACTTCCATGAGGACCAGAGAATCGAGCCAATACAGCACAAAGCTAAGAACCACACCCAAAATTCAATGTAGAATTGCTCTAGAAAAGACAGACCTACATAGTGCCAGAACAAATAATCCTAAAATGTGAATGAAATCACAGAAGACCCAGAATTGTCAAAGCAATCTTGA